ACGAACCTGGCTAGGAACTCTTCGGAGAGCTGCTTCCAGCCATGGATCGATCCAGCGGGGAGACGGTCGAACCATCGAAGTCCGGTTTCTCCCAAGCTGGATGGGAAGACTTTGCACATCAGTGCCTCATCTCGGCTCCATAGGGACATCATCTGTCTAAAATGGCTGATATGTGTCAGAGGGTCCGATTTCCCATCATACGAAAGTGAACTTTGGTGGAGTGAACTTCTTTGGAGGTCTCATGGTCTCAATCTTCGGAGAGAATGGCGAAGAGACGAGCCTGTCCAGCGCTCGATGTTCTCTCTGGTGAACAGTACGGTCCAGATGATCTCGATGTTGCTCATTCTGCCTATTGCCAATTAGCCAAGTGCGAAGGTCCTGAGGAGGGTATTCAGTTTGTTGACTAACCGTCTTCTGCCTCTTGGCCCTCCTCCAGCGTGACCCACGGGTGTGGCTACTCGCCGCTTCACTTTGTGTTGGGGAGCCATTTCTGGGGAATTTTTTCACTGGTAGTTCTCTAGACGAGCTCCTTTGTTGCAAACGAGAGGGCTCTGTTTCCGTCCTCTTTTCCGTCGGATCACCCAACACCTTCTTAAGTTGAGCTTTCAATTCCTGTATCTCCATTCCCATGGAATCTATAATTTGATCTCTATAATCCTTTTCCAGAAGGAAATGATGAGAAGAACCTCCGGCGAAGGGCAGTCGATGCTCGATGGATTCGAGGGTTCGATTATTGTTTCTAGTTTGCTCCTCCAGAACTGTTGGGAGTGCCAAACCTTTGTCCTTCGTCTTTTCCATCGGTGGAGTATGTGCTGAAGGCGGAATGTCCTCAATCCCCATTGCCGGAACTGAATGCAGAGCTCAGAGATAAAGTGATATACGCTCACCGCACCAATTGTGCGTACCGGATTCTGCACTAGATGAAAGTGGATCGGGGCTCCGCACTCAGTTGGACTATCCAGGGATGGGGACTCCTGCCACAAGAAGCACCGTTAGAGCTGCCCGGTCGGGGTTGGCCGGATAACCCCTCCGGCGTGGGAATCAATGATCAGAGAAGGAATGTATGTTAAGTGTGATTAGAACAGTTCTCCTTAGTTCAATTCAATCCAGTTACCTTCAATGTGAAGTTTATGAAATATATATAGTATTCCTTACTTGCTTCTCAAGGTGGTTTCATGGAATGTGGATGCTGCTAGGTGTCCTTTTAGCATTACTCCAGGTGGGGGACCACCTGGTAGTTGTCATTGATTGCATATACTCATTGTAGGCATGCTGATAACAAATCACATTCCTTTACCAGCTGAGGTGGCAACCTGCACATGCTTGCACTCACAGCTCCCACGTTTCCTTGTGAGGTTTCTCTAGCTCGGTACTCATGTACTTCAGCTCGGTACTGAAGTGCCTCGGCTCGGCCTTTTTCGGGATCATTCATGGAGATGCGCTGACCCATTATCTGTTCGGCCCACAAATTCCGTTTCGCAGCTCGGCCCAGACTAGCACTACAGCTGGGCTAGCCTTTCCACTGCGGGTTGGGCCCAAGTGCTTGAGGACTTGGGTGGACTGTTGATCATGAAGTTAGGCCCAACTGGTTTGTCTATATACTTATCTGACCCACTTGGATTTGGACTTTGTCGGATTGGGCTGACCCAAGGCTTGGACCTGACCCATTTCACATTTAGTCCCTTCACATGTCATTGAAAAGCACATTATATATATATATATATATTTAATGACAAATAAACGTGGATATAACATTTGTATGTAGATAATTAGTTCGTTTAAGTTTGATGACAATTACAGTGATATCAAAGTATTATTATATTACTTTAATTGGTATGTTGGACTGTGTTTCAAGCAAGTAACAAAGTGTGCCTTTATATTTTATTGGCTCACGCTCTGGAGTCTCATGCTCTGGAGCGTGCTGCTGCTAATCTGAATTGGGGTGTTCTGCTGGTTGTTAGGTGTATTAATGTTGGTGTATTATTGTAATGTTTTTTTTCTATTCTTTTTTTTTGGTGCTTTTGATTGGTTCCTCATCAATCTTAGGTGTTGATGTTTGTTTTTGCATGTATTGTGCCTTTTTTTATCAATAAAGTCTTTATTTGCTGATAAAAAAAATATATTTTATTGGCTCACGTATTAGTGTCATCTTGCATGAACTTGATTCTATATATTTACAAAGACGTCATTTGAGTGGGGTGCTTCATGTATATTATGTATAAAAAGAAAAAAAAAAAAAAATCAATCTGATAATCGTAACTATCGTATTTATATTTAAAAAAAAATTAACTAGAATTGTGCTCTAAAACATAGACTATCAATCTTTTTAAGTGACAAATGAAATAAATTAAATAATTATAATTATTGAATTGATATAAATTTTTTTATAAAAAATATTAATAAATAATTTTATAAAATAAATAATTTAATTTATTAAAACGAAACCCAACTCCTTTTAAAATTATTCTCCAGTGATGACAACATCGAAACCACCACTTTTCCTCCCTTTTTCGATTTGGAATCATTTGAATTGAGAATAGTGTTGATATTATTTTAAAAATACGATCATTTCAAGACTAGTGTTATTGAAATTTAAAAATTTAGTTTATTTTTTAAATTTAATAATGTGATATTTTATTAAAATATAAATTCTTTTATATTTTTCTAATTATTCATCAATTATTTTATTTACATATTATTAAGTTTAGAAAATGAATTTATATATCATTTACTTTATGTCAATTAAAAATTATAAATGAATTTTCATTACCATTATGGTATGGATTTTCCATTAAGTGATGATCTAATATTTTATGACTACTCTACAACGTTTACTTTTGGGTTATTAGCGGTGGAATTTTATTAAACATTGTTTTATTTGTCAGTCACATATGCAATAGATATTCTATATTATGTGTACATAGAATAGTGATTCAAGATTTTTGGCAATCTTAAGCTAGAAATAAACTTTTTTTTTTTTATTTGATCGGCAAAGAAAAAAACTTTATTGATGATAACAAACATACATTACATATGGGCAAACATCAATAAAGAGAAGACAAGAGCAACAATAACTAAGCAACCCATCCTAATCCCAACTAGGTTGACACCAAGAAGGACACCCAATCAAATGAAAGCTCAAGACAAGATGTCGGTAAGAAACCAACAAAACCAAACCAAGCAACAAAATAGAACAAAAGCACCCAACCGAACAAACAAAACTCCCACTTAAATCAACCCAGACCTCTGCAACATTTTAGCTATCTTGAACAAAACCTTAATTGCTGCAAATTGAAGACCACATCATTGACAAAAAACAGCATCCCTACTGTGTTATATTCCAACCATAAAGCAATTCTAATTTTAATAATCCCCGAAGACCCTTGAAATCTGGATGAACTCCTTGGAACAAACACTTATTTCTGATCTTCTACACAGACCACACAAAAGTAAAATGAATAGACTTCCAAATCCGCCTTTCAAATCTGTTAAAACTCATACCAGACCACCACTCCAAAAGGCCTCCAATAGACCCAAGTATAACCCAAGACAAATTCTACCATTCCAGAATTTCAGACCACAACCTTCATACCAAAGGACAGAGTAGAAGTATGTGATTAATAGATTCCACTACCTCCCTACAAAAAGGACAAAGATTGTTTACATTGGAATCCAGAACTCCTATTCTTTGAAGGTATGCTGTTGTTTTTACTCTTCCTTTCCAAGCCAACTAGCCAAAAAACTTAACCTTTGGTGATGCACCATTACCCCACAACAGTTTCATGATACTAATAGATGGGCCATGATTAAGCTCACACCTTCGCCTAGCAGATGAAACTAAAAAAGATCCAGACGAATCAACAATCCACCTTACTTGATCATCTAAATTGACCCTTAAATTGGGAACACCATTCAACACCTCAATAAGTCTTCTGACATCCTTCTCTTTCCAAGCTCTTAAAGGTCTTTTGAATGAGAAATTCCACTCCCCTGCTACTTCTCTGGTTTGAACCAAAAGCTGTAGTGAACCATCTTTAGTCTTAGATAAATTGAAAAGTTTAGGGAAGACATCCTTCAACTTTTCATTCATCAACCATGTATCCCATCAAAAATGAATCCTCTCTCCATTACCTATCACAAATTTTGAATTATTAACAAAAAATGAATACAGATCAGCATTTTCCAGCACAGAGGATAGTATATCTTGCCAAACTATGGACATCGAACTAGAGATCACCATACATGGACTCTAGCCACCACCATCATGATCATACTTACTGCACACAACACTCTTCCATAATAAACCATTCTTAGAACCATATCTCCACCACCATTTTAGAAACAAACTCTCACTCAAATCCTTGATTCTGCCTAAACCCAGACCTCCTTGCTCTTTAGTCTTGGTAACTTCCATCCATTTCACTAGATAAACCTTTCTCTTCAACTCTGAATCCCCTCCATAGAAAAAAGCAGCTTGCAACCTCTCAATACTCTTTACCACTCCTTTTGGCATTCTGAAAATAGATAAATAATAGATAGGCAAGCTTGATAACACAGACTTGATAAGTGTCAATCTACTAGCAAAAGATAATAGCTTCCTTTTCCATGATGATAGTTTCACCTTCACCTTATCCACAATAGGCTGCCATGTCTTATTCCTCCTCGAATTGGCCCCCAAAGGTAGCCCCAAAGTTAGAAACAAACTTAAAACCTTATCTCACTATATTTTTTAAAAATTGAGACTTTTTTTTGTTTGTTTTTAAATTAGCAAAAGTCAATGGTTAGTTGCCAGATTAGCACTATGGAGAGAGTTGAAACTCGCACCCACATACTTTGTAAATAAATATTGCCCTCCTATTTCACTCCTAAGAGTGGAACCTAAGACATCACTTTTAAAAGAGACTTGGTGGCCAAAGAGTTAGCCAACTAAGTTAAAGCCCCTTAATTTAAAAAAATTAAGACCTTTTTTTTTTTTGATCGGCAAAAAATAAACTTTATTGATAAAAACAAAGGGCAAAGCACATGAATACATCAATAAAGCATGGCAAGAGCAATAAGCATCATAGTGAACCTCCAAATCCCAACTAGGTTGGCACCAAGAGGACCACCCAATCATATACAAGCTCAAGCCATCAAAGTTGGAGAGATACCAACATAAAACCCACCAAAATAGACACCCACTCATACAACAACCTCACCAAATTTCACAAAGAGCACCTAGGTAAAATAAACCACCCAAAACACTCCCAAAATAACCAACCAAAACCTAATTAATTACATAACAGTACCAACAACAATAAAGCTAACAATGATATCCTCCACCAAGAATCCAACTTCATTTGGAAAACTATAAACTTGGCTTATGTATGGAAACAAAATGAATTAACTTGAAATGAATAAATGGAAATGGATTGAGATGTGAATATTGGTACTGTGTTGTAACGCCCCCAAAATAATACAATAAAGATAACTCATATGCAGAATAAATATAAGAAACAACATACTTTCATACATTAGAGTTTACTGTTTAACAACCAGTTAAATGCCACATAGGCTTACATCTTCCCAAGTCATTGCTTGGCTACACAAATTGAGTCTCACTCATTACATATTTAGCCCTTGGCTTTACAAATTCCATAAAACCACCAAAATAGACACCCACTTATACAACAACCTCACCAAATTTCACAAAGAGCACCTAGGTAAAATAAGCCACCCAAAACACTCCCAAAATAACCAACCAAAACCTAATTAATTACATAACAGTACCAACAACAATAAAGTTAACAATGATATCCTCCACCAAGAATCCAACTTCATCAATCCACCCAGCCAATGAAAATCACACTGCGAGGCCCAGCAACAACAAAACTAACAATTATACCTTCCACCAAGATTCCAATTTCATCAAGCCACCCAGCAATTAAAGATCACATTGCGTGGGCCCCTACTGAACAAAATGAAACATCCCAGCAGCAAGACACCCCACAACTAAGCATCCTTATAGCACTGCCCTCGCACCACCACCCAAACAGAATCTAATATGCTTCAAGTTAAAGAGAAAATCATGCACTGTGAATTTATGATCTTTAAACACTTCCTTGAACCACACAGCCATTCTAAATTTTATCAGATCACATACACCTTTGGCATTTGGAATAACATCTTTAAATAAGCATTCATTACGATGTTTCCACACGGACCATAACACTGTAATAGGAAGAGCTTTCCACATCGTCCTCTCCTTTTTACTGAGCCTAAACCCTGCCCACCAGTGAAGAATAGCCTCCACTGTATCAGGCAGTGCACCTTGTACTCCCCACCAATTTAGTATTTTTGACCACACTCTCCAAGTCACTGGGCAAGACAATAGGACATGATTAATTGACTCATCCACAGATTTGCACATAATGTAGAGGGTTGATGCATTAGCATTGAGAACACCAATTCGAAGAAGAAAGTCTGCGGTTTTAAGTCTACCTTTCCAAGCAAGCCACCCAAAGAATTGGACTCTAGGAGGAATGTACTTCACCCACACCCTTTTGTTTGTTCTACTATAGTTGCCAAAACCACCTGCCAGAAATGTATAGACTGATTCAACTGTAAACCTCCCTATTTTTGAAGCCTCCCACACTAGTGTATCTTGTAAGGATGACCTGAAGACAGAACAAGCCTCTAAAAATCCTATCAATCTGGTAACCTCCACACTTTCGCAATCATATAGCTCCTTTCTGAATTGGAACAACCACTCACCTGTAACCACCTTCCTTTCCATCATTGCAGAGAAAGACTCTCCCTTGTTTACTACCAGTTTATATAATAGTGGGAAATCATCTTTAAGACTTATATCTTCACACCATTTATCCACCCAGAACTTCACTCTATGGCCATTACCCACTTTTAACTGACAATTTTCCAAAAAAAAAAAAAAAAACACCATTAGGCTGCTATTTTGTTCATTACTTTTCACAATATCCTTCCAAAATTTTGAACACTTGTTGTTAGAGGTGACTGAAGGCCACCAATTCCCTTCATCTACCTTATATTTGTTGCATATGACTCTTCTCCAAAGTGCTTTGCTCTCAACTCCAAACCTTCACCACCATTTTAATAAAAGGCAAGCATTCACCTCATTAACTCTTCTAACCCCCAATCCTCCTTGGTCAACAGGTTTAGAGACTTCTTTTCATTTTACTAGATGAACCTTCTTCCTTAATTCAAACCCACCCCAGAGGAATGAGGTCTGAAGCTTATCCAGCTCTTTTGCAACCCCTTGTGGCATTTTATAGAATGACAGATAGTATATGGGCAGAGAAGAAAGTACAAACTTTATCAGGGTCAATCTCCCTGCAAATCAGAGTAATCTCCTTTTTCCACCCTACTAGTTTAACTGTAACTTTGTCCAAAATAGGCCTCCAAGTTGTTTTTCTACTTGGTTTAGCCCCCAATGGTAATCCAAGATACTTAATTGGTAAATTTTTCACTTTGCAATTTAGCACAGATGCAAACTCATTCATAGATTCAACTGGAACTCCCACACCACTCACTACACTTTTGTGATAGTTTATCCTCAGACCTGATAATAGTTCAAAGCACCTCAATATTCTTTTCAAATTTCTGACTTTCAAAACTTCAGATTCACGCAATAAGATGGAATCATTGGCAAACTATAATGGGTCAACACTACCCCACCTGCACCAATCTTCACCCCTTTTATCAATTCCATATCCAAAGCTCTTGACAGTAAAATATTTAAACCCTCAGCTACTATGTTGAACAGAAAAGGGGACAAGGAATCCCCTTGTCTGAGCCCTCTTTGGGGACTAAATTCACCAGTTGGTACTCCATTAACAAGCACAAATAGTCTAGAAGAGGTAATACGCTCCTTAATCCATCCCATCCACTTCTCTCCAAACCCAAAATTTATCATCATTGAAAACAAAAAGTCCCAATTTAATAAGTCATAGATTTTCTCAAAATCTAGCTTTATGATCAAACCTCTTTTCCTAGACTTCTTCCATCCATCTACCACCTCATTTGCTACCAAAACACCATCTAATATGTTCATACCTCCTAGGAATGCTGATTGATTTTCACTTATAATTTAAGGGAGCACTGCCTTTAACCTAGAGGATAGTACCTTTGATAGAATCTTATACAATGAGCCAACCAAAGTGATTAGTCGATAATTAGCTAAACTCACTAGATTCTCCTTCTTAGGCACCAAAGTGATAAAAGAACTATTGATCCCTTTAACTAACTTACTGTTTTTATGGAATTCACTTATAAAGTTGATCACGTCACTCTTCATTACCTTCCACATCTTCTGGACACATGCCAAGTTGAACCCATCTGGGCCTAGAGCCTTGTTGGCATCACAATCTGTAATAGCACACCTAATCTCTGCATCAGAAAATTCTAATTCCAGTAGATCAAAAAATGGGTTGTTCCTAACTGACTTGAAAGATCCTTCCAACACAAGTCTTGATCTCCATTCCTCTTTATATTGTCTTTGAAAATATGCTTGAACCTCCTGCTTTACTTTATTAGGATCTTCAAAAACTTCATCTCCAATAGATAAGGAGTTAATCTCATTTCTCCCCTGCCTACTTTTGACTACCACATGAAAATATCTTGTATTTTTGTCTTCCTTCAAGTCCCAATTTAGTCTTGATTTTTGAAGCCACATCCACTCCACCATTCTATACAACCTGCCAGCTTCTTCACTAACCTCTCTTCTTCGAGCTTTTTCTGCCTCTACAAGCTCTCTAACCTTTGCTACCAGATCAATCTGATGCAACTCATCTTTTGCTTGTTTCAATTTAGTATTTATATTGCCAAATACTTCACTATTCCACTGTTTCAGAGCTAGCTTCAACTCTTTCATCTTCTTAAATAATCTGAATCCAGCCCAGCCTTGAACATCATGCTCCTTTCACCACTTTTCCATAAAAGGTAAGAAATTTGGATGAAGAGTCCAAGCATTCAGAAACCTAAACGGCCTGGGGCTCCAATCTCTCTCATCCTCCATCAAGAGTAAAGGGCTATAATCTGACAGTGCTCTAGGTAACCCCTACAACTTTAGATTAAATGATTCCAACCATGTTAGTTCCACTAAAACCTTGTCAATTTTGCTCCATTTTTCCCTTTCCCTGGAGTTGCACCATGTATATCTTCTACCTAACAGGAGAAGATCATTCACTTCACTTTTGTCAATGAATTCATTCAACTCCTTCATACCCTTATCCTTTCTAGAGCACCCTTTTCTCTCACCAATGTTTTTGATTTAATTGAAATCACCCCTCAAGCACCAAGGACTCCTCCTTTAACTTCAACAGACTCTCCCATAATTTCCCTATTTGCCCCATTTCATTTGGAGCATATAGATTTACTATAACACAATCAAAAGAAAAGAATAAAGTACCAGATAACAGAATGAATCGTCTACTACAACGGCATCATCAGACTTGGAGCACTCCTAGATCCCATATACATAATAGACCACCAGCAGTTCCTTCAGCATCCACAGTCATGAAATTATCATCTCTCTACTCCATAATTCCCTCACCTTCATTTTTGACATAGAAACTTTCTTTGTCTCCTGAAACAATGCAATGTCAACTCCTCTGGCTTTCATCATGCTTTTAATTTTACTCCTTTTTTCCTTCCTACCCAAACCCCTCACATTCCATGATATTAGCTTCATCATAAAACAATATCACTAAACCCAGCCCCCCTTTAACTGCATTTCAACTTGCAGCATCAGTACCCCTTCCCTTTCTTTCTCTATCCTTTGCTTCTAAGTCCAGGATTTTTTATAACACCTCATCTTCATTACCTTTGCATTTTACTCCCAATAGTTTCC